AATCAAAGATGAATTTTATGGAAAAAATCGTTATTTTCCAATCTTTGAGGCTCTTGGGGCACCATTTCCACTTATCCAATTGAACTAAAATTTTACACAGATTATTTTTTTAGTAAAATGAACCGATCTGGGGGGTGCCGTCAACCGATTTTACGAAAAAAAAATTGCCCATTACCTTAATGGCACCCTAATGTAGCATGTTTTAATACATTTTATCTTTATAAACGTACTAACTATAGTCTAACTATAGAAAAAGTAAAAAGTAATTCCTTAAAAAGTTGATTCCAATTAGTAAAAAAAAATTTTAAATAAATATTTTTACAATTTTGGTACTTGCCACATTGGTTGTAAATACACTTGCGTGATTGCCACACCTAATAATGGCGGACTTTATTGAATTTCGGTATTTTTGATGAGATGAACAATTATTAATTAAACACTACATGTGGTAGTTGGTATATATCAACGATTCCCATGAGTAAAATCATTATTATTATTGCTTCATTGTTAACCAATTATTTACAAATACTGAAATTATACAAAACAATTATGTATTGTTTAATTTTTATTTTTAAAAATAAAAAAATTTAATGAATTTGTTTGTTTCGTAATTTAAATTAAAAATAATTAAAAAATTCATTTATTATGTAAATAATGTTCTAATGATATTCTTCAATTTCAAGGGATATTTTATTTTAAGTGGCTTAATAACCAATTACATACTTAATATGTAATTGACGTAATTAAAGATTCCTTTAGTTTAGCACGAAGTTAATTGATGTTAAACATAATTATAGATTTTTTTGTCTAGACATAAACATCTTAAATGGTTTTCAACAATAAATGTTCTTGTGATAAGTTTTGGAATTCGGCCTTCAAAACATCATCAAGCAGGTGATACTAGGACAATAGACTTCATTATTGAACAAGATGTAAAGATGAAGACAATAATGAATTTAAGCAGGTGTTAATTTAAAATTGATGTCATACGATATAGTCGTACAAATTGCTAAATATTTATCGCAAAGTTCTTGAATTTGATAATTATAATGATTGTGTACTCTACTTGCTGCAATCTCCGAAGCTGAATTTACAATATGTGCTTACAGTCGTAATAGGTATATAATAATAAAATATTCGTACGCAGTTAGTATATATTGAAGAACCCGATAAGGTAAGCTTATGTTTTTATAGGTGTCTACTTCAAGGCAAATTAGTATCTCAGTTGTTCAGTTTATAGAACGATTAAACATTTTTGTTCATATATTCTGTGACCTGATGTTGAGGCATTTATTTATAAATAATACATACGAATATGGACCATATAAAATTATTTTTATAGTTTGTTATCTTGATATGGTTGTCATACAATATTTTGTTGCAAATAAATATTTTAAAAATAAAACTTATGGTTTTTGATATATTAAATTATATACAAATTTTTTATGTAAAAAGCTTTTATGTTTTTCCATCTATTAGATAGATTAAAATAAGTATTTAAATATTTTTATTGTTTGAATTTATTGTTCTTATTATGAAAATAATTGTTTAAAATTTTAATTTTATTATTAAGTTCCTAATTTTAATAAGAACCTAATAGTTCTGGCTAGTCAGTTAGAAAAAGAGCCATATCGGATGGAGTAGAGTTTTTTCATCATCCGTAGAGCCACAATACTGATAAAAGTCAGGGTTGAAGTAGTTGAAGTAAATATTGGAGAGCAACATGTCTGCTTTGTCAAGTTCATCTGTTTTAAATCGATAAGCCTAGACAACTCATTAAAATAATTCTGGTGTTCTCGAACTTAAAGACACGTTGGTGTTCAGCTGTTTATTCCTCAACTATACAAACTTAAGTGTGTACAAAAATTTGTTTACATTTTGATTTTGTTATCCTTACTAGCCTTTGAGGAATAGCATTTTACAAGAAAGTATAAACTGTAGTGAGAAATAGGTTTTTTTTTGCGTTTACACCTAATTTTTGAGGAATCGACCCCTAGGACTACCTTGCTGCTTATTCTTTGCATCTATCTGAAAGATACTATAATTGTGAGGTAGTCGAAACGAGACGTTAAGATTTAAAAAAAATATCACTGCCGATTATGTCATTTATTTTCGAGGTTTCAGTGTGAATTTCAATCCTATTAGCAGGTAATACTCTAATTATACAATCCTCGTTATTGTGTCTTGAAGAGTTTTTTTTATAACATTTCAACTTCCATCTTTACCAACAGTATAGAACTTTTCAAGCAAACTTATTTTGTTGCAGATCACAAAATACCAATTATATGATTAATTGGTACATTCTTGAATAAATCTGCTTTACAACTATCCGACTCTGTTCAAAGACTTTTGTATAATTCTTAGTCAAATTCTCAAAACCAAATATATGATATATGATTTACATAATATATAAAACGGTATATTTTTAAGAAAAATAAGTTAATTTGTTTTTTAAAGCATCATTCAATATTTTACTATAATTTTATCTTAAGACAGTGGTGTATCCGGGAGTGAGAAAAGGAATTCTAGACAGTTAAGCGTGAAAAACGATTTCACTATAAGAGTGACAGTGACGAAAATATAGAGAAATCTGGAATAGAAATATGAAAAGCAAGTCAAGACTTTCTTGAATTACCATTGCGAAAGTGAAATGATGTGGTTTTTAATTATATTAATGGTTAAAATTTACAATAAATATACAAGTTGTATTTCAAAATAAATAGAATTTTGGGGACGTTCCAGATGGGTAAAACCTTTAAAAATTTCGTTTGGAGAAGTTAAAAGCGACGACAATCTTGATATGATTTTACGATCATTGCATGTGTGGCATTCTCCATACGGAGTTCTTACCACAAGCCCAAATTATGAACAAGTAAATTTATCTTAACGATTTGAAATATTTAACACATTGTATTTGTCGTATTTGACCAAATATTGCGCAGAAGAAATTTGGTGTTAGTTTCATGATTATGTGCCATCTCATTGATCAACAAATATGACTGGTTTTTCGCCTAATAATCACCTTTTCGGAAAAATGTGTTTGCTTATAATTATGGACGCATAATTATGGAGGACTTCTTGCGGGGGCACGAACGATATTTCGGCCTGTGATTTAAGATACTTATCTAACATGCTTTCAGATTGTCAAGCTGTCTTGTCTCGTGGAATCAGATGTGAATTATTAGGAATAACATAAATAGTTTGTGCGAAACAAAAGTTTTTTTGTTCTTAAAAAGTTCAGTTTTCTTTTCAAAAGTTTGCTTTGTAATACTCGTATTTATTACTTTTTTTAATTGAGCGACAAAAGAGATCTACTTTCTTCTTACTACGAAACTACTAGTACACTATTTTGAAATGGTAATAGGTAAAATATAAAAGCATTTTATACATATGTGAATATATGTGTGTGAGTATCGTCCTCGAAGATCTTTATTTAAAAGTTGATTTTAATTTAATCATCTTATGGACTAAATTTTGTATAGAGATATATTTCATTTTATTATTTCATTGTTACATTTATGAATATAAACATTAAAGAAGTGATTTATGGTGAGGGAATTAATCAGTCCAAAAATTTATATTTGGATTAACTGATCATATAGCTGTCATCCCTGGGGTTTGGGAACATTATTGCTTTAATTGCCAGTATATAATTTCTTGGCTTTAAGTATCAAGAATTGAGGTCTGAATTGAGGATTTACTGACGATATAGCTGGCATCATTGGGCTTTCTGAACATTATTGCTTTAATTGCCAGTATAAAATTTTTTGGCTTCAAGTGTTAAGAATTGAGGTCTGTCAAATTTGAACCGTGGACTGTCGTTACACAACTAATTTGCGTCATTTAAATTTCAAGCTTTGTTAATTTTTTAATAATTAAATTTATTTGTAAACAACAATTGCATTTACTGTACTCTTTATAGAATTTTAATTAACGATTGTAAATTTTTTTCTTTAAAATTTATATATATAATAAAACTTTTCCACTATTTGAAGTTGGATTTCTTGTCATGGAACACAAAGGTTTTGATTACTAAGATTCAATGAATAATTCCTTACCGGAATATTTTTGAAATCATTGTTTATGGTTTCATAAGTTTGTAAATTAATATATTTAACATTTTAATATGATTTTATTAGAATTTAATTTTCATTTTTAAAAAAAATCATTATATTATAGTTATTAGCTATATTATGAATGATATCGCTTATTACCAACGATGTCTATTATATGATTAAGGTAAATACATCCATATTTACAGTAATAACTAATATTATAAATACTAAATTTAATTGTTATTATATTAATTGCAGAAATATATATTTATTTTGAACTATCAATTTGTATCTAAAATTATTGTTAAGAACTTATTCATTATATTAAATTTAATATCTTATATCTAATACTGCTTGAGAGTTCAGCGCGTGGTTAGGTGTTGAAGCGCAAAGGAAGTTAACCATTAGTGAATGGTAATGTGAACCTACAGCTGTGAGTTAGCCAAAGAATGTTGTCTTTTTGTTGGCATAACTGCCACTTATATAACCTGAAGGTCGTGTTGTATGTTGCAGTTCTCTTCGATGTGTTAAAACAAGTGTCAAGATTTTCAGTTGAATATGCAAGACTTTACTTGACTCGCTACAAACTTGATTTGTTGCAATGTCTTGCAATTAAAAAAATCGAAGTAATGAATTTCAATGAAAACAATCCAAAGTGACTCATTTGGCTGCTGTTTGGTAAATGCGCAAATAATCTGAGTAAACTAATAGAGAGTTTTTTTTAAAAATATGAGAATCATTATTTACCTAAACATGTGCAATATTTTTTATGAAATATTTTATAAAAACAGTTTTTATTATATAAATTCTTTTCAAACGTGTTTTATTATCTGAAGAAAATAAGTTCCATGGTTTATATATGGATAAATCGTTGCAGTTTTTAAAGTAAAGTTGCTTATAAATTTCATTTTGATTTAATTTTAATAGTAGGTTATACAAGCAGAAATACTATATAAAATATATAATTGAAATAATTACAAAGCGGCAAATACAAATACTTTGTCTCCATATATAACTGTTATACTTTCAGCTGTACTTCTATCAGGAATTTATGGTTTCTATATAGCTTTTTCAGTTCTTTCTGGGTCATGTTATTGAAATTATGTTATCAAAAAATTATTCCCTTTTCTTGCACTATAAACACTTTCATAAAAATTTTTCGGATATTAGACGTAATCGATCTGTGATCTATAATTTGTTGGTAATGTTGTTATCTTATATGTGATTTTGTTGAATTGTAAGTTAGTATAAATATGAAGCCATGGTTCCTAATTATTAAGGCCAAAGCCTTCATTTGTGTATCAAGGGAAAAAGATTGTGTTAGGACGAAGGACGAAGAGGCTGTATGTTATGAATCCTTTGTTTTTTCCCATAAATATGTAATCTAGGCATCTAGACACACCTTCTTCATAAGAGGCACAACTCGAAATCTCTATATTTTGAGTTAATGTATGAAATTTGCTTTTAGTTTACCTGTCTACCAACACGTAAAATTCCACTTTATTTTTATTATTGCAAATTGTCGAAAAAGACAATTATATCTCTTTTGTTGTTAGGAATGACGCTACGCTGCAAAACATTTTTCACGTTTTTTGAAAATTGACGAATTTCGAGTTGCGCATCTTTTGAAGAGGGTGTGCGACATGTTATGAAAATGGATAAGGATAGATAATCAGATTGCCTATCCAAAGAAAGCGTCAGCTAATATTCGAAAGTCAAATACTGATGTAGATCGATGAATTAAGAATGACAGTTATGAGTACACAACGTGAGAACGACAGCAATAAAGAAGGAAAGGCAATAAAGGAGAAGAAGTTATGCAATCTATAAAAACGAAAGTTTTATGTATTTAAGATCATCACACAAAAATTACTAGATCTATTTTGAAAATATTTAAAAATGTATCAGTTTGAAACAGTTTTTGATATAACAAGAATTGCACATATTTAGGGAAGAAAGAAAAAGAACTTTTTTATTAAAAGTAATTTTCAAATATTTGGGCATTTAAAAATTTGTACTGGAGAGCTACTAATAACTAAAGTGGATGCAACACAGTACCAATACACTCTCTAATAACTTTTGTCGGAGTTGTGCATCTTCAGATTCAAAGAAAACTTATTCTATTTATTTGCCAGTGCTAAACTTTTGAGAAAATTCTTCAGACTTAAATCACAATACTTATTTAACCCAATTTGGACCAAATTCATACTATTGAGCTGTTTTAACTAAAGCGGATGCAACTAAGTACCAGTACACTCTCTAATAACTTTTGTTAGATTCATGGATCTTCAGATTCAAAGAAAGCCGTCATCGTTTAAAATTAGAGCAATAGTCAAGTTTAGATTTATCAGATTGGTGTCCTTTTACTTGAATGGCTTAGTTCCAAATTTTCAAAGGGACGTTGTTTGTGAACAAGATGGTTAGGGTATCTTCAAGTCTGGTGTCTCATCCATTCACAAATGATCAATTTTTGAGCTTGAGTAAACTTTGATGTTACACTAATCTAATCTTTGGTGCTACACTAATCTAATCTAACTTAGGTGACTGCATAAGATTTATCTATGATGTATGAAATCTGAATCAACAATTTAAAAAGGGTTTACAGTCAAATATATTATATTTATTAAAATTTATTGATATTGTGTTTAATCAGTACTAACTTTGTAGGTGGTTCTAAACCCTAAGATGGTACTAATATTAATAGTAGCAAATATATTATATTTATTAAATTTTATTGATACGGTGTTTGATCAGTACTAACTTTAACCGCAATTGTCTAAAACTTTATCAAGTTTGTTGGGTTAGTTATTATTATGAATATAGAAAAAGCATGAAAATTCTTATTTGGAGTTCAGAGAAGTTGTAGGTGGTACTAATACTAATCAATTGATGTACATAAGAACTCTCTTACCTCAGTGGTGTAAACAGAGATAGCAGAGCATGTTTTCAGAATGAATTTTCAGTTAGCCTTAAAATAATATATTTTACTAAAAATATGAGCAATAATGTATATTAAACTTGAAGAAGTTTAACTTTAAAGAATTTTCTTCGCATTTTTAATTACGAATTAAAATAATATCTAATATTTTTTGGGCCATTGAATGAAAATTGCGCTAAAACATTTCAATTTAATTCGACGATTTAATAATGATTCAAAAGTCTCAAGCTGATACTGGAATCGCTAGTACTCGCATGTTGTAACATAATTTTTTACCGAATTCATTAGAAGGTCAAAAGCCTTTGTTTTGTTTTTGTTAGCGCCAGCGACTTTTAAAGCTATAAATAGAAAAATATGCAACTTTGTTTCGTGTAAAAAAAAACAAGATACGAAATATTTTATCTTTATCTTAATGGTGAGCAATCCAATGACCATATTGTTCATATCTTTCTCGTACAAATTATTCACTCGAATGATTTATTATAAAATCTTGGCTTTGTTATATTTTGTATGCATGAAATCAAAACGAGAAAAAGGTTCAAGAGATAAAATAATTACTTAAATGTATCTTTTACCGTTGCAATATTTAGGAAAATAATACAAATATTTCTGTTTGTTGTCTTTAAAAGATACCCAAAACTGTTTTCAATCTTAAAATAAAATAAAACTAAACAATAAATCTGAAAAAAATGGAAATGAGACAAAAGCAGAAACAACGTTTAAAGTATTTTTATTTAAGAATTGGAAATATTTATTTAAATCAAAACAAAAGATTTACGAAGGAACTGTAAATTTTACAAAAGAAAATTGGTATTTAAAGCTTCTACATTTATGTTGTAAATTATTACAAATTTTAACGTATGGATGTTTTTATATTTC